TGTGGCCCATTTTGTATGTTCCACTGGTTCTAGAATTCCTTGTTCAACCAATTTATCTAGTTCTTCTTCCACTCGAGGTTTCAATGCAAATGGAATTCTTCTGGCCTTGAACAGTATGGGTTTCACATTCGGGTCTAAATTCAGCGAAATTGGCGGCCCCTTGAAATGACCCAACTGAACATCAAAAACTTCTTGAAATTCCAACAATAACTTGGTTTCTCGATCCTGTAATGATTTCTCGACTGCGTTGATTCCAATCAGCGATATGTTCAACGATGAGAACCAATTTCTGCCCAATAGATTAGCCGTATTCTTACTGGCGATGATCAATGATAGTTCTCGCGTCAAACTACCAAACACAACCTGTACCTCGCAACATCCTAGAGTTTCAATAACATTTCGCTGATAATCTCGTAAACTGAAATCTGTTTTCCGAAGTTCGGGTTTCTTATCAGGAAATATGTAATGAAAGGACTCTGCACCAATCATAGAATAAGCTGCACCACTATCTACATCCATCACTATCTGTTTTTTATTGATCATTACAGTCACTTTAAAATCGGCACATTCCTTCGGACCCACTGTATAAACATAGGGTTCAAAAATGTCTTCTTGACTTGTGTTGTCAGATATTGTCATGTCATTGAAACCAGACTGAATGACATCTACTGATTTTTGGTTTGCCCTAACCGATGGTTGTTTTCTGTTATTATAGCCTTGCTTCTTCTTGGACAAACAAACTCTCTCAATGTGACCCATTTTCTTACAAAAATTGCAAACGGCATTTTTGAAAGAACAATCATCTGCGGAATGTTGATTGCCACAACGGTAACACGGAAACTTTTTCGCTTGGTGAGTGTTAGTGCTGGTCTCGCTTCTATCTATTTTGTAACATTTTTCCTGTGTCGACGCATTAGGGCCTTCTCTGAGAAGATTTACATTCAGTGCAGCTGCTTCAAAAGCTAAAGAAATGTCTTCTGCTTTTTTGAATGTCAATTCTGTTTCGGCTAATAACCGATGTTGTAGATTCTGATCACGTACTCCACAAACTAGTCTGTCTCTCAACATTTCTTTGAGTATGTCCTCTTGGAATGAACAGTCTTCAGCCAGACGTCTGAGCTCACCAATGAAGTTAGGGATTGATTCATTAGGCAGTTGAAATCGACGGTGAAAATTAAATCTACCGACTACTGTTGACTTCTTTGGCATGAAGTATTCCGACAATTTCCTGATAATTTCTTCGAAAGGAATTATTTGAACTGACTTTGGTGCGAATGCCGAATGAACAATGTCATAAGTGGAAGGTCCACATACCGTTAAGAATACTGCTTTCTTCTTCTCATTGTCTGTAACATTATTCGCTTGTAGGAAGAAGTTCAGTCTTTCAACATAATTAACCCATTTGTTAGCCTCCAGCGGGTTGAAGGGCTCTAGAGAACCAATGGTTGCCATCTTAATGTGTCCTCGGAAGATAGATTCAGACCTTTAGACTGCGCCAATATAGCGTATGCTATTATTTGTGTTGATAAAGTATGAATACTCGTTCAGAACAGAAATTATGTTTTTTTTATTTAGAACAGTCAACTCATTAACAACGTCAACAACGTCCAAGCTACCTACGATATATAACACAAATCTAGAATGTTTTTGAGGTATTTGAATTTTGGGAGACAGCATCGAATTTTTTTCATAACTGAATCTATATGTTGATCCCATCTAAGGCATTCATCTAGAATTACTCCTAGGTATTTCATCTTCTTCACAGGTGTAATATAAATTTCCTCCATCAGCTTCAGGGAAGGTGCCTCGATAACCAGTATTATTGAGAATGGAATGTGTTTTTTTGAAATTTATAGTTAGCATCTTTGAGTTGAACCATTTAACTATATTCGGTATATCATTTTCTGCGGTTTTATTCACCATTTTCCAGTTTTTTTTTTTTTCTGTATAAAGTATCGCCGTGTCGTCTGCGAAGCTAACTATCTGGCCTTCAAAATCTTGTCTGAATAAATCACTTAGGTAAATATTGAATAGTATCGGCCCGAGTACTGTGCCTTGTGGAACTCCATACTGTACTTCTCTATATTTACTATAGACTCCATTTATTGAGACACACTGTTGTCTACCAAATAGGTAGCTATGCATTAATTCTAGCGCCTTCCCTCTGAATCCAATATTTTCTTGTTTGAGAATTAGGCTAGTATGGTAAACCATATCGAATGCTTTCGCTAGGTCTATAAACAGGCATATTGTCGCTTGACTGGCATCAAGCATGACGAATGTGTCCACACTCTAAAAAGAGCGAAAAATGGGATGTTCAAGGCACTCTTATTAAGGCCAGTCTATGTTAAGCACTGAAGATTGTTTGTATCATATAGAAAAGGGATATGTATGGTACAGCCTGTGGCATTCATTTCTTCTTCAAAATACCTCAAAAAATAGGAGTATCTCTCACTTGAAAATCCTAAGATGTATACTGCGGTCACTGCGTTAGAAGATTTTCGGTCAATTTTTTTGTTAATGCTGGAGGACTTGGAGGAGATATATAAGACCTACAAAAAATTGGTGGATGGGAATCGGCGAAGGTTGCTAGAGAGTATGTAGAAGGAAGTGTGACTGAAAATGTTTCCATTGCTCGCAAAATTTAAATCGGTGATGTTTCCGGCAGTGGATTAAGCACCAAGGAACCGCAAGAAATCGAAAGGAGTGCTTGCTGGGTCATTAATCAGGCTTCAGAGGACATACCTGTGATCATGGACGCTAAAGGCAAAGGTGTATCCATCAAATTTGAAAACAGTCAAAATATTGTTTTACATGTTCATGAAAACTAGTTCTAATATTATTTGGTATCTAAGGAATTATGCTTTCCTAACTAACATATTGAATTATGGTAACTAATGTGTTTTCAGTAACCAATGTTTTATGTAAGTTTTGGGTACATTTATGATGTTAATAATTATTAATAAGATTTTGATATGAAAATGTCAATCTTCAATGATAGGATAGAAACAAAAATACAACTGGAACACAAACTCACAACTACAACACCAGAAACAAGGATTTGTATATTCAAGTGAATTATGTTAGAACCATGAAGCAGGCAGAATATCTGCCTCTGAAAATATATAATATCATGCCAGTGGATTGGAAGGATTATTCATCAAAAAACTCAAATACATACTGAAAAAATCGTTACTCTTGAACCCTTTTTGTGATATCAATGACATTTTCACTCATGAATGGTTGGAAATAAATCAACTGACATTTTCATTAATACCTATTAGGGCAGATATGTGTATAAATTAACTGTGTTTATGTTATATTTGTTCCTTTATGTTCAATCAACCAATCAACTTTATTGATTTTGTAGACCATACAAGGTATAAAACAGGTAACAAGTTACAATTACATTTTCTGGATGCATGCAGGAATATGTAGTTCAAATATTTTCAATGTGTTCTAGTGATTTTAATTTACTAATTTTAACATACGTTCAAAAATACCCATTACTTCAGTCACTAGATGATTTTATTTAACAAAATGTTGAAGAGAGGAAACTTGGCAAGATCATAGACTTTATGGTTGAGTTTAAGGAACCATTTCCAATAAACTATAACAGTAGATAGTATTTTTTTCCAAATCAGCAATAGTGCTGCTGATGGAAATTGAACTCAACAGGTCAACATTATCAACAAAAAATATAGTGATATATACACATAGTTTTACACTAGGTTTTATGTTTAGTTCTACATTATTTATCTAGAATCTAAGAGACTCCCATCAATTATAGTTTTCAAAATATCACCAAATTTTTCCAGCTTAAGAATGAAAATCTTGGGATATCTTGGAATGTACAGGCCGGAATTCAAACCACATCATTGAGATCTCATAAACCATAAGAAGTTCAGGGTCAGAGAAATTATGGCACATTGAACTTTTAGAGAAATTTCCTAAAAGACCCTTTTTTATGTTATTTGAGGAAATTAATGGTAATTAATGACACTTTATCTTGGCCACTTTCACTTTCCTACAACTCCTATAAGACATTTTCAATTTCAAAATCTGGAGTTTTGTCTTCCAGAAACCATCATCAACTTTTTTTTCAAACAGGGACCTGGATTTTTCATTTCATGAAAAATAGGTACACATTCATTTTAGAAATCGGCACAAAAATGTGCAACTTTACCATTCAACCAGATTATGTACAGGGTGGCTGGTATTCCAGCTTCATCATTGGGATCTCTTCAACCATAATGAGAGATATAGGGTCAGTTAAATTATGGCAAAGTTGCAAAAAATGTAGTTTTGAAACTTGAAAATTCTGAATATTGTCAGAGATATTCCAGAGATTATAGGAAAAAATTTAAAATTTCCTACAACCATCATTAATATTTTTTCAGTTATTTCAAGAAATTGATGGGAATAAATGACACTTCATCATGACCACTTTTTCTTCCCTACAAGTTGGAGTTTTCAAGTCTCTTCCAGAAACCATCATCAACTTTTTTTTTAAATAGGGACCTGGATTTTTATCTCCATTTTTCACACCTTTGGATATCCCCAAAGCTTTGAGTAACTTTGTCCTAATTTGACTGATTTCTGGCACCATTGAAAAAATATGGTGATAAAAATAAAATAGGAATCACCTCCATTCCAAAACAGGTGATGTTTTTTCACATTTTTCCTTTACTTTTCAAAATTGAATTTCTTATTAATTAGAAGACTTAGGAAAATCTAATATTTTGTGGATATTAATGTGTTCAATATAATTATTTAAAAATCACATGTATATTACTATCAACAAGAAAAATGTCTAGTGTGAAAGTACATTTTGCTGATTTTGAACATGAATCTAGAGATGGATGGTAGGTTTGAACAGTCCATTGTCTCAATGGGTGCATCAGCTTTAATCCTCATCACACACATGAAACTTCTCTGTTTTGGATATAAAGTAGATGAGGACTTAATCAATATAAAATATATTTGATGAAAAAACTTACCTAAAGGTCTCATCTCAGCATTCTGGGTATAAACTTGGGAAATGTCAGCTACTCTTCTACATAAGGCATCTATAGGCATCTCATATCCAAACTTATACTTGAATTGAGCTGCCTCATACCTAGCCCGTTGTACCTGTGACTTGCTATCTGCAATCATTCCTGTCATCACGCACCCAGCATTATCAGTCAATTGGAAAAGATGGCTTATAGTACTGGCGTCTACTAGTTTATCTGGGATCTTCCTCTGAGTTACACAGATTGCTGTGTCGACGCCTTTTACAGCAACTGAGGTGAGTCCGGCTTGATTAATTGCTTTGAATGCATACTCTACTTGGTAGAGGCGCCCCTCAGGAGAAAATATAGTAATGTGTCTGTCAAATCCAGCACTACTTCCTCTAGACATTTTAGTTTATATGAATTTCAAAAACTTACTATCAGAAAAGAATCCCAAAAGGATTAAATAAAAGATACTGTGACTGACTGAAATATCGAGAATGATTTTCGTATTTTCTTATAATTTCAAAAAACAGAAACACTGTCATTATGTCAATGTTAACTGTCAACTTCTAAAGTTGTCAGTTGACATCGATTACCTTAGATCATTTTACTTATGAAGAAATTGAGCCAGAGTTCCGTAAAAACTAGATGAGGAGAAACTCTCTATTGGTCTATACAAGGTGTCTCAAAATTACATTTTAAGATTTCAACCACAGATTTTAGGAACAGAAATAGTAGAAAAAGTTCATGAAAACATCAGCCCAAAAATGGCCCCATGGGGAGTTATAGCCATCTGAAAGAGGGCCCGAGATGATGTTTCTTTGTAAATATATCCGGAACCATCTATGTGTTGAGATAACGAAATTTTGTACATGTATATCTTTTCATGTCCGATTTGTATATGTTGAGAATTTTCCGAAATTTTGATCAGTGGCGTGGGAAATAGGTGGGGCTAGGGGAATTTCTTCCCCAACTTTTTTTATATACAATTTCCGGCAGTTATATTTGACCAGAAAATATGAAAATATCAATATTTTCATCGAAAAATGATACTCATGTCTAGATAAATCAATTTCTTCTCTTATTTTGAGTCAAATTTCACAAGTAGATGTTGGAAAGTAAATATTTTCTATCGAAAAATATTTTTTGGGAGAATTTGGTACCCTATTATTGAAAACCACTATTTTGACATTTTTTTATATGAATATATTGAGTAATTATTGGGTAGGAAGGGTCGGAAGTGAATAGTTATTTGTTTTACTAGGAAGAAAAGTAGTAGATTGACTACCACGGCTGATAGTTCATAGCCGAGCGTAGCGAGGCTAAGAATTCAGCCGAGGCAGTCAATCTACATTTGCTGCCGTGTGAAACATAGAATTTTTTCTCCAAATGAAATAAAACCAATTTTGGGTGATTTTCTTATTGAAAACTCCATCATTTTGTGTTCACTCAATGTCAGTGTCGATTTTGATTACTTATTTCATTAGACTTCCTTGGAACGTTGCATAGCAACAAACTTTTTCTGCCTAGAAAGTAAAAATACACCTTTTCTGCCTGTTAAGCGGCAGTAAAAAGCCACTATCCCCGCCGCTTGGAAAAAAAATAACACAATATCGCGTCATACAGCCAGATCAAAAAGATCTACTAGGCTGTGGATGGTGGATATACACATGGTGGAAATAGAATATATTGTGTGCTACGACCGATAATATATTCACTACTCAACGACGCATCTTCGTATACGTAACTGCGAGTAATGCGAGTAAAACAATTGCTCGCAGTCTGAGCTCGCAGTTATCTATTAGAGAGTTGAAGTAATCACTGTACGTAGACCTCCACGTCGACGTTAACGTACGAAAAATAACGTTTACGTATTGTCGTTAAATTGAGTTGAAGTCGCCACTTTGGTCGTCACTGTCATCATAACGTAATAATACATTTTGTTTTCGGTTTGTATTGGTCATTTTTGGCTGTGTGTTTAGATTCGAACATTTATTCCAGTCAAAATTAGAGGACTCCTTGATGAAGAACTCGTTGGTGATCTCGAATTTGATAATTTTGACTCATCGGCATATTTCGAGTATAGTTTGGTTAACGTACGTTGATATTCAAGGTATACGTGAGGGAACGTGAGATAACGTACACCCGTAAGCCCACTAACAACGCAAACGTGAAGAATTGGAAAATGCGCATGCGTAGCTGTCAATTTCTACGTTTACGTTAACGTTCATGACAACACTTCAACTCTCTATTCACCCGAGTCGCCGTGAGCCGTGATCATTATTGGTGTGAGGATAGACTCGCAATGACGTCATTCGCAACAAAGACGAATTCAAGATACTTGAGTAGCACACCATATTAAATTTCCACAATGGCTGTACATGAATCTTATACAATTTATAGTCATGATTTGATATGCCCGTTCGTTTGTGTTTGCTCTAGAAAGTCATAGAAAAAAAACAAGTTTAGCTGGTAGAGCAAACACAAACGAACAGGCCTCTTATGAACTATGGGAACAAAATCAACTTCAGCAGACTTCAGCAAGTTCAGCAACACAAATGAACAGACCTAATGAGTCTCAAGTTTACTGAATGGCGACAGAAACGTCTCTCGCCAGTCATTCAATCAGCAGCATGCTGCCATGCTGCGACTACGGGTGCGTTTTTCATTCCAACAATTTGTCATGCGCATGAATTCCGCTGGGCTGCTGATGGAAATGCATGAAACTGCTGTTGTTATAAAATGTGCACTTTCAAATGGCTTTGCGAGAATCCAGTAGTTTGGAGGATACTGACATGACAATTGACACATTGTAAGTGTTGTTCTTCGTTGTGGTTTCGATTTGATGAAAAACAAAAAATCACGAGGATCTTTGAGATTCTTGAAAGCTAAATGTGATTATTGCTGATCAATAAAATCTATATAAAATATGATTCTGAAGATATATGAAAGACCGACACACAACGAAATCCGTTTTTCCATCAGTGATGTATATTTCATCGTTCCATCGTTCCAGCATAAATTCCATCGGAACAATAATTGGGCGCACTTTTTTTCGATGGAATGAGAAACGCGACCCACTTTTGACCTAGCTCGGCCTGAATGAAACTTCTTCCTGAAAAGTATATTTACGAAGAATTACTCAGGTGAAAACAGAAGGTCATGGGTATGAGGAAAGAAAATACCGTTTATACACGAAAAAAATTAATTTTCCAACTGAGCTCGTCCTGAATGATATTTCTTCTTGAAAGTATATATTTCGAAAAATTACCTGTGGAAAGAATGAGAAAAATATATAAAAATTGACACTTCGCAGGAATTTGAACGCGAACCACCGCCGTAGAGGTCAGATACACAGGCCACTTTGCTATCGCACTATTCGTGAGTTATTGTAGGAAGCAATGATCTCAATATATTGAGTTCATTGGTAGAAAAATGATGGAAGTAAGATATACTTCCATCATTGGTAGAAAGAAGAAATATCGTGTTTTGGCTTGTTTATCACAACAAGAAGCAAAGCAGCATGCTACCAAATGAATTACTTGCGAGAGACATTTATCTGGAAACACTACACCCATTCGTGCAATGCGCGCGCCTTGCACCATCCCGCATTTCCGCAATCCCGCATTCACCTATCCTAAACCTGTCGCTAAATCTAGTGTTCAGGGTAGGTAAATGGTGAATGCATTGTCGATCTAAATGAAAACCTAGTAGGCGACCTAGTGCGAGGAGGAGAAATAGCTCTCGCCTACTAACTACTAACTAACTACCTAACTAGATTGTCATCAAGAACGACAACGGTGAAATGCGACATTTCAACTAGATTTGTTATCATCATTTGTGCCACTTCTGCCACTATTGAAATATGTTTTGTGACCTACCGTAATACCGCATGAAATTTTATAGGAAAATGTATAGTATTTTGTTTCTGTTTTTTTTTTCATTCTGAATAAATGAAGTTTTTTGCTATGATTTTCTATCTGATGTTAAAAACTAACTGAGAATGAGGAAATATAATAAAAAATGCCGCTAAATCACGGAAAAAAGTAGCTAAATTTCAAAAAATTTCGCCAGCGTTTTTTTTTCGTGAATTTCATAATCAGCGGCTGGCAACACTGCACCCCGCATCCCGGCATTCTGCGCCGGCGCACCGCTGGCGCGCCGGCCGCCTTCGTCGTCAATCGTCATTGATTCGCCATTTTGTGCGGGGAAAAGTTAATGTGCGGTTGTGTGCTTGGTGCCGGAAATTTCAATTTTGGACCGTTTTATTGATTCCTTTTCAAATCTAGAAGATAGATTTCTTTGCATATTAGCTGCTTTGAGAAATTCCGGGTTATTCAAGTTTTTATAACAAGTAACTGAAAATTATGGCTTCACAAGAGGTATCAATGGAAAATGGTGAAGATTTTTCACAAGACGTGTCGGCAGACCATCAAAACGGATCAGGCGATGCGCCAAGAACAGGGGGTAGTGCCGATAAACCTGGGCGTGATGATGATAGGTAAGATAGTAAATGTGTTTAGAGAAAATATGTATTCGTTCAGGTAATATCATAATTTTTCCATTGGACGCCATCTGTACCAATGATTAGCCCATTCGTAAATCTGAAATCATCCTTCTAGCTCGAAGAGTCGCAGATGATATAAAATTTAATTTGTATTATTTAGATCATTTGCTATGAGGAACGCTGTCTATTTTTGGTATTACACTAATTTTCTTGATTCTACCAACATGAATATTATTATAAGCTGTTGTGAAAATGAAACTGTAGAAAATGGCCGATGTCTGTTTTATATTGATTTTCTGGAGGATTTTCTAGTCTCTTATAGGGATATTCCAATTGAGCAAGACTTCTACACCACCTTTCAGCCAAATCATGTAGTGATTCTTACTTTTCAATGGATGTGAATAGATAATGAATAAGTATAATTTTCCTTTTTTCCAATCAATTGGCTTCTAATCGGGACCATTAGTAGGATGCCAGGCTTTTAGGGTACCTATCATTACCAATTTATACATGGTTCCTTTTCTCTAGGTGGCTGAGTCAACTAAGTGGAGGACTGATGGCATGGAGATGGACCACCAGGACCCATGGTATTTATCCTTGGGCAATTCTTCTGTCAACACTCAGTAAACTCAACATTAAAAGTTCACTTGGGCAATTGAGTTACAGTCTGATTATAATGAAACACTATAAACTTTGCTTTTCTATACCTTTCACAGATTTTCTCTGGTCAAATGTAACGTCAGATTACCTTTGAGATTGCAGATCGCTTTGATTGAACTTGGATAAAGTCATTGCAGTTTCCATAATGTTTCCTTTTGTATTTACAGTTTATTAATATTTGATTGCTTTCCAACATTTTTGAAGATATTTTGATTGACCTCAGTTGGGGCCTTGTTAACAGAGTCCTAAGTTTCTGTTTTTATTTTCAGGAAATTGTTTGTGGGTGGAATGAGCTGGGAGACTACAGAAAGTGAGTGTTATTTTATCATTATTTTAATTAACTTGCAATGATGAATTTTCTCATAATTTACCCTGGCTTTGCATATGTTTTGATTAAAAACGCCTAAAACCTCCTACACTAAGTGTTGTTTTTGAGAAAAAAAGAATCTCAAGAATAACTTTCCTGGCAGGTCAGGCAAGTGAGTATCTAAAACAGAAGAGTAGACATTATCATATGGAAATGTTTAGCACCACATATGCATTTGTTGTTCAGTTATTGTAAGTTGTAATTACTAGTGATTATATAGCAAAGGTCACAATATTACTATAATTTAATCTAGATAATCTTGAACATATTGCTAATATAATGGGTTTGAATCTGTAATTCAGTTAAAACTACAGTCTTTTATTGTTCTAATTAGCCAATGAGGTATATCCACTTCCAAATTGAAAACTAACTACCCTTGAGCCAGTGAAACATCCAGAAAAACTCAATTGGCATTTTTCTGAATTCTTTTTTGACCACTGATTTGAATCCAGCTAACTGAGGATGTTCTTCCTCTTATAATATTTTGTATCTCTGAATAGAATTTGGGAACTGTGTTCTGGTAAAGTAGTAAAGTCTGAAGTCAGTGCTTCTGTGAATATTTTTTCACCACATGTTTTGAATGAGCTAAAAAAGTATATACTCTCATTTCATATTGTGTACTTATGTCCAACTTGAAAAATACACTTGAACTCCCAGAACAATCTATATTTTTACATTTATTCAAATTCCTTTTTCCCATGTTCAGCAAAATGAGCTAACAAAGTATATAACTTGACACTACCATTGTAAAAATTAGACATCTGTGGCTAAAAAATTTCAAAATATACCAAATTATATATTTTTCTGTGATTTTTACTGAAAGAAGAAATTTCCCAAGCTCAGTATAGTGGTACAAAATATGGAAGGAGGTATATCTTTGTCAACTTGTTTTAAACATGTGAAGAATAAGTTTCCACAAACGCCAAATTGTAGATTTTCTCTGATGTCTACTAAAACAAGGGTAGTATACAAGCAGTTCAATATAGGGGGTTGGAAAAAAGAATGAAAAGGAGTCAATTCTTTCCAAACATGTGAATATGAAATCCCCAGAAACGCTGAATTATGTGTTCAACATTTTTAAGTTTCTCTTGTTCAAAATATCAGTGTGTTCATCCAGGATTTCCAAGGTTCACATTGGCAATCTCCTCATTTGAAACAGGTTCCATAAGGAAATATCTTAGACTGTTTGGTTTATCCATATGAGAGAGTACCATGTGTCACCCGGTATATATATATATGCCAACAGAAGAACAGTTGAATGAATCTCAAAACACATTTATTCATTTTTAAATAGGACACCCTGTATTTTATTGCATTTTCAGATTTTCTCTGAAGAGCTGGTTCCATTGATTTATCACACTTTGGGTCTAATATAGGTCTTCAAAAATTGAGATTTTTCAACTTTAGGAGTTTTTTGTGTTGAATCTTCATTATTGGCCAAAACGGTTTTCATATCCCTATCTTAACTTTTGATTCATTATCTACTGATATTCAATTGAAACAATTGAAAGATGGTGAAAAGTTAAGAAGATAACCCTGTATTTGTTTCAATTAAATGTATATATGTATTGAAAGATGGTGAAAAGTTAAGAAGATAACCCTGTATTTGTTTCAATTAAATGTATATATGTGCCAACAGAAATTCAGTTGGAAATCTCAAAACACATTTATTCATTTTTAAATAGGACACCCTGTATTTTATTGCATTTTCAGATTTTCTCTGAAGAGCTGGTTCCATTGATTTATCATTATTTTGGTCTAATATAGGTCTTCAAAAATTGAGATTTTTCAACTTCAGCAGTTTTTTGTGTTGAAACTTCATTATTGGCCAAAACGGTTTACATATCCCTATCTCAACTTTTGATTCATTATCTACTTGAAACAATTGAAAGATGGTGAAAAGTTTAGAAGATAATCCTGTATTTGTTTCAATTAAATGTCAGTAGATAGTAAATCAAGAGTTGATATAGAGATATAAAAACTGTTTTGGCCAATAATAATTGATGGTTTCAAACAGAAATTCCCAAAAGTTGACAAAATCTCAATTTTCCACACTCTATATCTCTGTAATCATTTGTGTGATAGATCAATAAAATTAGCTCATCAGGGAGAATCTGAAAATGCAATAAAGTACAGGGTGTCCTATTATTTGTGAATTCATAAATGTTATCCATAATTTTTATTTCGTTTCTGTAGGCATATAAAAAATCTACAGAAAAAAATATGAAAGAATTTTCCTAAAAAAAAATTGAACAAAACATAAAAAAGTTGAGTGGGGGTTCAAAATATAAATGAAGACCCTGTACAATCACTTTTTTCCATCATTCAAATAACCCTTAGGCTGAGAATACGTTTTTTTGAGAAATAATAAAATCATTGTTGAAATATCTCACAGAAAACTACTATTTTCCTGGCTAATACCACAGGATATCTTTTTTTTCACTCACCATATATATGAATCATATCAATTCTATAAATGTGACCGAAAGTAATGTATATCATCCCTTGGGCTTCTAAACTCATAACACGATTTTGTTAGATTTTGTAGTTTTTCACTATGTTGACACCTTTGGCTGTCACTTGTGTGATGCGTTTTTTGACGTTTCACATGAATTTTCATTGAACGTCAGTGTGAATCGAAGTCGGAATCGATAGAAGTTTGGAATCAAGAGAACAGTTATGATTCTGGTAGGCGAAAAACATTTATGTGTCACACATTCAGAAAACGCAGCACCTACAAGCTGCCCTCGCTTCGCTCCTGTAGCTAATAGCCGTGGGCTGCTAAATCTCATTTTCTGCCCTTGTGTGGCAATATACTATTACATAATATCAAAAATAAAATTTATCTAATTCTGACAAAATATACAGGGTCCCGCCGATTTAATAGGGACTGTATTGCTATTTCCTGAACGATAAGAGATTGCGTAATTTCTTCAATGCGACGTTTGGCAATTTGGAAAAATGTCAGCCGTTTCTGGAATATTGGAAAAACTGAAAATCACTGATTTTGTTCTCATTTATTTCCCTTATTTTGTATGAGCAGGTAACCAATCATGATGAAGATGTGAGTATCAGAAATATTCTATCTTCATTATTTTCAGAGATTCACCATGTAACTTTTGTTTTTCTTATGTGCACGATATTTGTTTTGTACATACCATTGAAAAGAGCTCCATAGTCTTGACATTTTCACATGAAACACCCCCCAATAAAACAGCAAAAACATTTTCAAATGTAGTAATGGTAATAGGAAAGCAAAGGAAAACAAATTTCAGTCATCATGAATAGTTTCAATAATACTTCTTTATAGTCATGAATAACACCTACATTTTTATGCAATAATAGGAAAAATGCACAGAAAACCCAAGAATGAAACTGTTTCCTTGAATAATCAAGATCCTCCTATAACTGTCATTGAAGGTTTTCATTTAGTGTTAGACATGCGTTTTAATCTATTTTATTGGTTTGTTAATGAATTGACTTATCCTCAAACATTGAATTTTTTATCATAATTCATTCTAGAAACGTGGAAATCCATCAGATTATATGTTTTTTCGGCAAGTTAGTTTTATGTAACCGTATCTTCATTATTTAATTACTTTGTGAAAAATATGCTTTTTTTCTGTTCCTCGGCCTTTTTGCATAAGTATTGATGAATGACCTACTAAATTTGACAATGTTTTTGTACTGTTTATTTTTTGGCGCTGTTTCATGTGAAAATGTCAACATGTTACACATGACTGTGAAGGGAATTTTAAGCCCTGTTCAATGGTTTGAAAAACAAATATGGCGCCCATAAGAAGAGCAACGGTTGCAAGGTGAAAATAATAAACATAAAATATTTCTGACAGTCCCAACTTCTTTGCCATGAATAATTACCTGCATATGCAAAATTTCAAATTTATTCCTCTAATATTAACCCTTTGAGTCCAGAATTAGTGTTTTTTGAGATTTTATTTTCTGAAAATATATTATGTGACCAGAAACATCATAAAAACAATGAGGAATATAAGAAGAAATCTGAATCGTCCATTTTTTTTTTAAAAAGTGGTTGCCCCAAGTGACCAGGAGGTTGCCGCAAGTGACCAGTAGGACTATGTATATTCCAAAAGCTACTAACGCCATCGTTAGTAAGTTCAAACAATTCAGTTCATAGGTGGCTGTATTAGTATCGTGTATAAACGGTGGTTATGCTACAGAACCACTAGTAGAGCGCCGATGAATTATCTGTTATCTGGTTTATTTTTTGTTATGGTTATCTGGCATTATTAGTAGGACGCAAAGGGTTAACCAAGAAAGTGAATAAAAATGAATCAGTGATTTTCGATTTTTTCAAAATATTTCAGGAACTGCCGACATTATTCCAAATAGCAAAACATCTTATTGAAGAGGTTAAAATTATGCAACTTTTGTCTAATTGCATCACTCTATCTATTACCATTTAGGACATAGCATAGCCTATTCAATTTTCAAAACTGGCGTTTTAAATCTGAGAATGATTATAATTCGGAAATGTCAGTGGTGACCAGCATGTCCATACTCTCTCAAAGGGCGTGTAATGAGGCACAGGTTTGATGTGTCAATATTATAATATACACAGTTATTTTTCCATATTATGATATCTGATTGTGGGATGATAGCAGTAGCTTGAAATTATGTTTATGTATATTTTCTCAGATATTTAAATGATAGTTATTGTACATTTTATATTTTTTTCAATTAGGTATTTCCAATATTTGACAGATATAATTCAATATTCTGTTTCTGTGGTATTAGCCAGGAAAGTAGTAGTTTTCTGTAAAATATTTTGATAATGATTTTCTTATTTCACAAAAATCTCTGACACAGTTGAAGAAAATAGAAGATAACTTCAACCTAAAATTGTTGAAACATATCCAATTTAAACAAATGCGTTTTTGACAGTTTTCAGTAAACCAGCACCA